GAGATATATCCATGATGAATTATCTCTTTTCATTTATTTTAAATGTTGTTTAATAAATATATGAATCATTGTGGATTACACTATATGTTAAACCATATATGATTATACTATATATTATACATATATATGTATGTATAATTGCATTTATTTATTTTTTAAAAATTATATGTATCAATTGATTAGAGAGAGAGAGAGAGAGAGAGAGAGAGAGAGAAACATCAATTTGTTGTTCCATTTATTTATGCATACATTGGTTGATTCTGGTATATGCCCTGACTGGGAATGAAACCTGCAACCTTGATGTATGTGGACAATCTCTAACCAACTGAGCTACCCAGCGAGGGGCATTTACTTTTTGCTCCACCTCTTGGGTTGAAATGGAGTGATGACATGGTGTAGCGTTTCCGCCATTTTAAGGGTAATTGGAAAATTCTGTTCCTTCAAGGCAGGTAAAAACAGTTTTCAATATTTTCTGCAGCTCTACTCAACTTTCTCCCTGCCACCTCATTATTTATTTTTCCCCCCTTCCTCTTACATCCTCTAACTAGGCCTTGGGTATGGTTGGCTCTTTGGGGACTAATTGATGGATGTGTCTAATATACAGGATTAAAAGATAGAAAAACATACTATTATAAGAGAGACTGAATCATGACGTATGAATATACTTCATGCTGAAGGTTGCTGCTCATCATTTAAGGACGCCACACCTTAGTGGCATCTAAGGTTGTTTATTAAATAACCTTAGATCGTTTATTAGTATTGTTAAGTAAAGCTCCTTAGTACATTTGCTAATTTACAACCAAGATAATTTCTAGCATTCTGTATCATTCTGAGAAAGGTAATTAATAAGACACTTTCTAGCATTCTATATCCTTCTAAGACAGATTATTAACAAGGTAGAAATATTTAAGCCATCTTTTCTCAGAAAATTGCACTGACTCAGAAATCTGTTAGCAGACTAAGCTTCCTGGACTGACATGAAGAGGACTTCAGAAGTGTTATGGATAATTAGAAAATTTAGAATACCCAGGGGTGTTAATAGCCTGGATAAAGAGAATGGGATTTCTTGAATTATAAAAACATTAGTCCTTTTGTACCATGATGATATTGTTGGTGTGGAGCTTGAGTGAAAATGAGGGTCTAACTCATTTGGGAAATGTGATCTTGAGAGAGGTGAACTCTTATAAGGTCGAAGAAATTTTATCATACAGTAGTTATTGGTTAATTGTAATTTTCTATTCATCCTTCATTTTCCCACAAGATAACTGTGTTGACAATCTTTCTGCTTAATATTAAATATCCTCAATGTGTTAGATATTGATTAGAACATTCAAAATATATGATTCCTAACACAAGGAGTTTACATTCTAAAAAGACTTGCTTTAAAAATGACCTTCCTTATAAATATGTACCTATTTTATCTACTTTATTTTTTACATAGTAGGTAAGTGAATTTCTTAAGCAGATCACTTAAGAAGATAAATTGATCGGTGAGACTGACACATAAGGGTTTCAATCTGCCACTTATTTGATAATAACACTGAACAAGTCCCATAATCTTGCCGAGCCTCACTCTCCTCATCTATAAAATGATAAATCTCTGATATTTAACTCCTAGGGCTGTACAGAGTAAAGATGTGAAAGAGCTGGCATAAAGTAAAAGCTAAAAAATTTTACCTCTCCCTTTTGGTAGATCAAGAAAAAATAAGACAAGAGATATGGCTTATAATGTATATTTTTGAGAAAGTAGGGAAGCTATGAAATATATAGGAGGTTAAGTATACCTAGTCAATATCAGCTAGAATGCTTCTGAAATACGGTGGTGATTATGTAAACAGAACAAACTTTGAAGATTCCTGAAATTCAGTGTGAGCAGGTTAGAGATCCCCGGGGGCAGGTCAAAAAGGAGGGTTCCAATCATAGAAACAGGTTAAGTTAAAGAGATATTGAGTTAGGTAGAACTGTGCAAACTGCCACCTTTTTAGATGCAAAATGGTTGAATATTGGCGATTTCATGTGGTTCATGTAATAGATGCTCAGGAGGCAAGGAAAGCAGTAGGGACTGGGAAGGAAAGACAGTCCTTCAGGTGTGGTGCAGTTAACCAGGGCTTTGGCTGCTTTCAACACAGAATGGCTAGGCTCTTGTGTGAACCAAGCATCACTTAGTGGCCTTTTCTCTTTGTAGAGAAAAAGGGGGTTGAAGATCAGTGAAAGTGTTCATGTTGTTTTATAGAAGTCTTTATGGCCTTTGATATTCATCAGAGTTTCCAGAGGATTTAAGAAAATTTATTAAAACATAAAATATTTAAAAAAAAAAAAAAGTGAGGATCCCTGGCCAGTTTGGCTCAGCAGTAGAGCATCAGCCTGTGGACCCAAGAGTTGAAGGTTTGATTCCTGGTCATGGGCCTGTACCTCCGTTGCAATTTCGATCCCCAGACCCTGTTGGGGTCCTGTGGGAGGCAACCAATCAAGGAGTCGAGTCTCTCTCACATCTATGTTTTTCTCTCTCTCTCCCTTCCTCCCTCCCACTCTATCTAAAAATCAATGGAAAAATATCCTCAGGTGAGGATAAAAAAATAAGATAAAATAAAAAGTGAGGAAATTGAGGATGAGGGAAAATAAAGTGAAACCCAGATCTTCTCCTGTGATATAAACAGTGGCCAACACAGAGCTTCCTCAAGTCATCTTTGGAAAGAAAAAAGTGTAACTTCCAGCACAGTGCTTTCCTGATAACCAACTGAAATCTGGATTCCTGTGTAATGTAAGTGCGACTGAGAGGCTGACTTCTGTTGAGAGAACAGGGAGCTTTAATTAACATAAACTGTATTTGAAGATTTGACTGTAGTACTGGAATAGTTAAGAAAAGGTATTCTTTCCAGAGACTACTTCCAGCCTTCTGAATATTCCATGGAAATCACTCTTTTAAGTGTGGTCCGAGAGGGTCCTCTGAATCTGATTGTGATACTTCGACACATGGATCTCTTGAAACCATTGCATTAAAAGCAGAATTGTTGGCTCTGGTAGGTTATTTTCTCTTTTCAGGAAGATTAGATGAAGTGTTTTTGCATTTTGTCAGAATGTTCTATAGACCAAAAAAGTTTGAAAATGACTTCATTTGTCAAGTGGCATCAATGAGGAAATGAACTGAATTCTTGTGACCAGATACTTTGCTCTCTATGGGTGGCTGGACTAAGACATTGCTAAGGGGCATGAAGGTAGTATGCTTAGATTCTTAACATATGTCCCCATTCCCGGAAACAAACAAACAAATTCTGAAAAACTCTTTTCACGGGGCTATCCTCTATCCAATATATCCACTGGCCAAGAAGAGTGACAATACTGTGACTTCCCTCCCTTTCTCCAACTTCTCTTCAGCACTCCATCCCTCTTTTTCTATTTTTTTTTTTATCCTCACCTGAGGACATTTTTTCCATTTTTTGTTCAGATAGAGTGGGAGGGAGAGAGGAGGAGGAGGAGGAGGAGGAGGAGGGGAGAGAGAGAGAGAGAGAGAGAGAGAGAGAGAGAGAGAGATGTGAAAGGGACACATCAAGTGGTCGCCACCCACATGACCAACCAGGGCCAGGGACAAACTGCAACTGAGGTACATGCCCTTAGCGGGAACCGAACCCGGGTCTCTCTGGACCGCAGGCCGCTGCTCTAACCGCTGAGCCAAACTGGCCAGGGTCCATCCCTCTTTTTCTATTCCCCAACTCCAAATTAGCTTATTCTACATTTTCGTTTTCTTTTAACATTAAAGTGTAAAATAGTACAGTGTTTATACTACTTACCTTTTAAAGTGATTCTTCTACTTAAATATGAGACTAAAAGTTCTTTTGGAAGAGATCAACCCCATTCTTGGATTCATAATATCAAGTCTTATTTTTGCCTGTGATTTTTAGGTCACTACCCTGGAAGTTCTATCTTTTGTACAGTTAAGTGCCAAGTAACCGTTTTTCTTAATCTAGGAGTATAGGTCGAAAGCATATGTGCTTTAGAACTGAGACCAAAACTCACAAATGGATTACAAATTCCTTTTATTTGGTGCACACAAATGTAGTTCAAGTGCTGGATTTTACACCCCCCCAACTTTGTCACACAAAATATAATAACAACAATAATTGGAACACTGATTCTTGAGTCAGATGTCTGTAAGAGGCTATTGTGGATAGCGTTTCCATCTCTTTAATTTAAACTTTCTTGGCGATTAGATCTAATAGTAATAGGCAAAGATAGACGTCTCTTAGTTGGCAAAACACAAAAAAACATGAGCATTTTCCTCCTCAGGATGACAGCAAGAGATCAAGGATGCCAAAGAGAAAAGGAGTGTTAACCTAAACTAATAAGTGAAACGAGATTTTAAAGTATAACTAAAATGTTCCAAGAAAAAAAATATTTGCTGAGATTCACTATTTTAAAAATGCTGGCAAGTGATGGGTTTTTTGACGTTTGACTCGTTACCAAAACGATTAAGAAGCAAGATTACGTGACTGGGTTTTTTAATAAAAAGGATTCTATACTTTTAAATATACATACATGCCATGTACTAAATGAAATACACCTAAAAGTGCCTGTTCTGGTGCCACTGGCAAGAAGGAAAGCTCGGTTCAATGCGAGATGAATTATTTCTTTTTTGTTTTTAAATGCCTGCCTCCAGGGTACGCAAATGTGGGAGATGAATTGGAAGGAAACCTGGGGCTAAGGGGGATGGGACTGAGATGGCTGGGACTGTGAATCTATGAGCTGAAAGTGAGAGAAAATCCTCCTCCAGCCTCGGAGGGGGTGTCTCCCCCAATACCAGCTCCCTCCCCCCGGTCTCGCGGGGCGGGTCTGGTTTGCACAGTAGCAGCAGCGGCCGCAGCAGCAGCCCCGAGGCTGAGCGGCTGCGGCCTCCAGGCAGTGCAGGGAAGCGGCGATTCCGAGAGCGCGAGGCCCTGGGGAGATCCGGCCGACGCTGCCACCGGGATGGAGGAAGCGTCGAGTGGAGCTGAGCCACCGGGGACAGATTTTCTCCCCAGCTCAGCTCCCCTACTGCTTGGCGAGGCCTGTCTCGAGCGCCTGCGAGGTGGAAGAGGCCTGCGCCTTGGGCCTGGCAGCGGCAGCCGGCGAGCGAGGCGGGCACAGCGGGGTAACAGGCGAGCCGAAGCCGCTTTCGGGAACCTACGCCGCCAAGGCCGCTCATTGTCTCTCCCCTTCCACCCGGGGGGCAAACAGGAAGCGCGCCGCCAGGCCGAGAGACGGACAGGCGTCCAGACCAATGAGCACCGTCGACGGAGAGCGTGGCGACGAATGAAGGCGGAGAAGAGGGGCGGGACTTCCGGGCGGGCTGTCACCCTCTTCCCCCCTTTTGGGCTGGAGGCTCCACCTTTTGTGTTTCCCGCACAGTCAATCAAAATAGGAAAAAAAATCCCCGGACCGCTCCGGCCGTGTCCGCCGCCGCTTCCCGCATCCTCTCCCGCCGCCGCCGCCTTCGCTCCTCACCATGTGTAAGGCGGCGGGGAGCCCCGCCTGAGGTGCCCTAAACACACTATGACCGGTACGTAAAGCCGAGAGAGCAACCCTTGCTGCTGCCGCCGCCGCCGCTGCCGCCGACCACAGCCAGCTCCGGGCCGCTGCCGCCGGCTCCCGGCCCCGTGTGTGCGACCGAGTGTCTGTGAGAGGCAGAAAGCCGCACTCCCCTCCCCGCCAGCCATCGTCCACCCCTCAAGCCCCAGCAGCGCCGTGTCCCCTCCGGGCCCCGGGGCGGGCGGCCGGGTCCGCCGGGAGCGCATCCCCCTGTGTGCGGGCGCGGGCGGCGGGCGGGCGTGTGAGTGACTGACGGTGCGAGAGGAGCGAGCGCGAGTGAGAGCGAGCGGCGCGAAGGGAAAGGGGAGGAGAGGAGAGGAGAGGGGGCAGGGGCAGCGCGGGGAGGAGGAGGAGGGAAAGAGGAGGAGGAGGAGGGTTACAGGCAGCGGCGGGCGGGGGCAGCAGCAGGAGGGGAGGAGGGAGCCGCCGCCGCCGCCGCCGCGGGGCGGGTGGGGGAGGGGAAGGGGAGTCGGTCCGGGCTTTCGGAATAATTTCGACTCGGCCCGCGGGCCCCCTCCCTCTCCTCCACCCGCCTTCCTCCCCACCCCCACCCCCCCGCGCTGTGCCTGCAGCTCCTGAAAAGCCCGTGAAACAAGAGGAAATGGCTGCCTTAGACGTGGACAGCGGCGGCGGCGGTAGCGGCGGCGGCCACGGCGAGTATCTGCAGCAACAGCAGCAGCACGGAAACGGCGCGGTGGCGGCGGCGGCGGCGGCCCAGGTGAGGAGCGGCAGAGCCCCGGCCCGGCTCCCCCCTCGCGCCGCTTTCTCCTCCCCTCGCTCTCCCCTCCCTCCGCGCCTCTCTCCTCCCCTCCCCCCGCCCCGGGAGCTGCCCGCCCGAGGCGCCAACGCTCCGACCCCTCCCGCTCTCCCCCTCCCGCCGCCTTTTTGTGTGTGTCTGTGTGTGTGCGCGTGTGAGTGCGCGCGCCCTGCCGGAGGTGGGTTCGGGGCTGAAGGTGGAGGCCCGGCGCGCGGCCCGCCGCCCGCCTTCCCGCGGACGGTGGAGCGGGTGTGCGTGCGAGCGGGAGGACACGAGCCGGAGTCGAGGAGGAGGAGGAGGAGGAGGAGAGCGAGGAGAGCAGAGCGCGGGCTGGCGCTCCTGGGCGCAGCCTGCGAGGATCGAGCCGCACTTCCTGTGTGAGCTGCGGCCCGGCCCTAACCGCCACCCCCTCCCCCTGTCTCTCTCTCTGAACCCGCCCATCGGGGGTAGGACACTCAGCCGTCACCGCTCGCTCTGCTGGCCGCTACCTGCAGCAAGATTGGGCCGCCATCGCCGGGCGACGACGAGGAGGAGGCGGCCGCCGCAGCCGGGGGCCCCACCGCCGTTGCTGGAGCGGTAAGTCGCGCGCGCGCGCGATCCGCCCCCGCAGAGGCCCAGCGCCCGCCATCCCGGGCCTGCGGCGCTCCCGCCGCCCCAGAGGCCTCCTGGGCGCCCGCGCCTTCCCGGAGACGGACGATCGCGCAGCCAGGGGCCCCTTTCCTGCTCTTTCGCATACTTGTTGGGCTCAGAAGCCAGCCCAGGCTTTCTCCAAATTGTCACTGCGGAACCTCGATCCAAATTCACTACAAAATGAAGTCTGAGAGGGCGGGGGTGGAGGAGTCCAAAATGGATGTTTGAGCAATTCATATCACTGTTGAAAACTCCTTCCCTGAACACTACAAAATTTTCAAGCACAGCCTATCGGCCATAGATAGTATCAGCTACAGAGGCAGCAGTGTTTTTTAGCTTTTGGTGTTTTTGAACCCGGAGCTTTTTCTGCTGGAAGTTACTGGCTCTCACTGATTTGAACCATAAATCGTTAAACAAAAAACAAGGAAGGTTTACTGTTTGAATTATGCTTTTGTATGCAGGAGTGGACACTTCAAGTGCTTTTTCAGTGATCATTCTAAATTGTTATTTAGACTCTTACTTTGCAGTAATTTTTCATAAGTGGAATAAGTGAAAATTTTAATAAGCGACTGTTGAAGCGGTGAAGTTACTTAGGTAATAACTTTGGCTTTTGAAATTGAATGTGAATATCAGTTTAGAAACAAAAGTACATGTAAGAAGTTGTTTCCTTGCATGCTGATGCACACCATACTTAAACAGTTGAATCTGGTTGGCAAAGCTATATTTTCATTTTATTATGGTTGCTAGTCTGATGGGATGTGGTGGATCCTTTTTGTAGTGTTTTTAGTATGTTTGGGGCAGGGGGAGGAGCTGACCAATGTTCTATGAGGGCTTAATTCAAATGATCTAGAAAAGTTTTTAAGACTGTTGCTTGTGAATTTTATATTTGTTTGAGTCATTGCAGTTGCCTTAATGTAACAAGTAGATGTGTTTACTTATTAAAATAATTGAAATCTTTCCCAATCTTTCTGAGGTGGATTATAGGAATTGATTTGTGTGTAGTAACATTTTGAAGTAGTCACTGTAGACAAAAACGTTTGGTATTTGATGTAGTCTGAAGGAAATTTTTAATATTTCTAGGTATTAAAAGTGAAGCTAAAGTTAAGCTATATTGTTAAATGTTGCATTTGCAATTTTAGTGCTTCCAAGTTATATTGTAGGGATGTGAATGGTATTGGTGTCTTAAAAGTATGATTTTAGGTTTTGTGGTTTTTTTTGTAAGCAGATTAAAATGTAAAAGCACAAAATTATGTTTGTGTGAGCCATTGTTACTGTTAGACAATTTATGGGTTGATAAAACATTTTTTTGAACTATATTCCTTTAACCCTATAGTGCCAAGACAAATTGAAATGACTGCATAAGTAAAATTGCAAATCAGATGGTTTCCACCTTTTAATATTTTCAATCAGAACAAAAAAACGTATTGTAGTTACAGCTTAAGTTTAGGTATCAGCTAACTGATGGGGGAGGGGTAAAGTAAAGGAGGAAGTGAAGATGAAAATATGTGTATGTATTTTTGAATCTCAGCCCCGGGAATGGAATATTATCTCCAGCTTTAGCCTACGGTAGCCATGTATCACTTGTAAAAAGTTGTTTCCGTGCCTCTTCAGCTCCTCCTCCTCTGAACTACCAGATCTCTACTGATACACATTTCCCTCCAGATGAACAGGAACTAATATCAGTTGGAGCATTATTTTTCTTTGGTACCTGTGAATAAAATTTTTCACTGAGTAAGATTGGTAAGACTGGCTTATATGTTTGCCTTAGCAAATGGGAAAATTATTTTTCCTGTTCAAATAAATTGCAGACATGTACATCTCAGAAAATGAGAGGGAATTTAAGTGATTTCATGGGCATTTTTTTCTCATTTGAAAATGCGCTTAGATAATCTTTAATTACTTAAATTATTAGGAATCTTGAGAGGTCTGTGGAGAGCAGTTTTTGTAACCATGTTTTAAACATTTTTTAATTTGGAAGAATTTAAAATTTACAGAAAAGTTGCAGATAGAACTGAGGGTTTACCTTATACTCTTCATCCAGCTTCCCCTAATGTTAATATTACCATAGTATGTTTGTCAAAACTAGGAATAACAGTGATTCAGTATCATTAACTATAGACTTTATTTCTGATTATACTAGTTTCTCCACTAATGCCCATTTTCTATTCCTGGATCCAGTCCAGGATACCACACTGCACATAGTATTACTGTGTTTAAAATCAAGTGAAATATATACATATACTTCAATTTTATGCCAGTTTAGTTTGGTATTTTAGGATTAAGAGGTCACTGAAAAGCCAATCACCTGCATTGGAGATTTGCTTTAAATATTTTGAATTTATAATTTGTTATAACATGAAAAGGGTTCATCCTGGATCCTGGCCAAGAATGGATACCCTCAGTACAGTATTGAATAGGTCTAATCGCAAAGCATTCTCACCTGTGTTGCCATACAACATGGGCTCCCAAAGTTCGTTTGATGGTGGCTCTCCTTTGTACTTCATTATTAAAAATTGTGTAGTTAATTTTTGTAACAAATCAGGAAATTGAATAAAGTAGAAATTGAATAACAACATTTATGCACTCTTAACTTGTCCATATTGCATTTGTGTGTGCTTGTGGATTTTTAATTTATTTCATTTGTACTGTAGTGTAATAAACTGCATAAGTAAATATTATGAAAGTTGTTGCCTGATCTTCAGTTTAGGTCATAAATTTAGGGTTCATTAATTTAGTATATAAATGTTGGTGAGCTAAAAAATGAATAATAGGTTATTTAAAAAATAATGTTATTTTTACCATTACTTAAAATAAGATCTACATGGTCAACTATAGACTTTATTTCTGATTATACTAGTTTCTCCACTAATGCCCATTTTCTATTCCTGGATCCAGTCCAGGATACCACACTGCACATAGTATTATTGTGTTTAAAAATCAAGTGAAATATATACACATATTTCAATTTTTCAAATGCTCTGCAATAAGTGGTATGAATTTTTTCTTTTTTCCTATCTGTAGGTATTATCTGAGAAGATAACCTCTTTTTTACCTTTTCTCTCACCCCCCCAGCACCCCCCCCCCCTTTTTATGCCTGGTTGTACTGGAGAATGCCCTGGTAATGAATTGCTATAGCAGCGTTCCGGGGCCACTCTTGGTTGTGGTCCTTTCACTGTGTGGTTGTGTTTATGTGCAGAAGGAGCCTTAGAGTACCTTCAGTTATAACTTTTTACAGTAAAGCCAACTTTCATGTTAGATGGTATTTTGTTTTTTAGTTGTCCAATGAAAATATTAGAGTTACTGAGAGAGACACTGGTGGATTTTTCTTTTAATGTGAAACTTATGTAGAGGGTTGTATTGAACCTATACCAAATACTAGTTCTTGCCTGGGTTATATGATTTTATGTTTCTCTTCCTTTGTATAGTGTTTCAAATAGCCTAACAGCAAACTTTTTTTTTTTTTAAATCTTTATTGTTGAATGTAGAATGTATTACAGATGTTCCTCATTTTTTCCCCATTGACCCCCCCCCTGCCTTTTCCCACACTATTGTCTGTGTCCATTGGTTATGCATATAAGTTCTTTGGTTTATTTCTTCCCACCCCCCTAACCCCTTTCCCTTTGAGGTTTGTCAGTCTAGCAATGTATTTGTACTTTTTAACCCTTCACCTTTTTCACCCATTTCCCCCAACCCCCTCCCATCTGGCAACCAACAAAATGTTCTCTGTATCTATGAGAATGTTTCTGTTCTACCTGTTCATTTTGTTTGTAGATTCCATTGTTGATAGATATGTATTCATTGCCATTTTGTTTGTTCATATATTTTATCTTTTTCTTCAAAAAGACCCTTCATCATTTCATATAATAATGGTTTGGTGGTGAAGAACTCCAAAGAGTTTCTTGTCTGGGAAACTCTCTATATGGCCATCGTTTCTAAATGACAGCTTTGCAGGATAGAGTAATCTTGGTTGTAGGTTCTTGCTTTTTATCACTCTGAATATTTCTTGCCACTCCCTTCCTAACAGCAAACTTTTTTACAGCTCTTTTTGATCTCAGATGATTTTCTGACTTATCCCATTTGGTATTTAGTGTACTTTATCTCTTTTAGTGGTATGCTGTTGATGAAATTTCTCTTGCAAATGAATGGTCTTTATAGGCTTCATAGTTTGAAATATTGGGACTCATTCATTGTGAAAATATGGAAATAAATAGGGTTATAATTGATAGAGTTTTTCATAGAAGACTATAATCCCAAGGTCAGTTTTTTATTGATCCATTCTTTCTATTATTTTCTTTGTAATGATTTTAAAGTAAAATATCTTTATTCATTCAACAAATACTTACTGATCTTTGTGACAGGAATTGTGCTAGGATGTTTTTCAAATCTGTCCTTAAAATCTTCGTGATCATAATGATACCTTAGGGGTTGTATAGCGCTTTATAGTTTATAAAACCTAGCACTTTTGGTTCTTACAACCTTACTAAGTAATATTTTCCCCATTTTTAACATAAGGAAATTGAGTTCTGCTCTAAATCACACACAATTCTATAGTTCTAGCTAGGATCAGAACTCGGTTCTGATTTCTTTTCTCTCTAGTGCAATATACTCCCCTTTCCCAAGCATAGTCTTAGCTTAAATTGTGAAAGTATAATAGTTTTCTGATTCGGTGTTTCCCCCCATTCCATTAAAAGAAATGAACACCTTTGCCTTAGCCTGGTGATTCAGTTAGTTGGAGCATCCTCTTGTATACCAAAAGGTTGAGGGTCTGATTCCCGGTCAGGGCACATACCTAGGTTTGGGGCTTGGGGTGATGGGAATAGGGAGGCAACTGATTAATGTTTCTCTCTCCCTTTCCCACTCTAAAAATCAGTTAAAAATATATCCTTGGATGAGGATTAAAAAATATCTTAATACTTAGTAAATCTTTTAAAATTATTTCAATAAAGAAAAAGCTTTTTATATTGCTGTTTGTTTGTTTTTTTTGAACTATCTCTTGCTGTTTCCAGCTCCTCCCTCCAGGCTTGTGCTTCATATATGTATGTATATGTACACACACACACACACACACACACACATTTTTCAATCCTTACCCTAGGACACTTTTTTTCACTGATTCCTGAGAAAGGAGGAGAGGGAGAAGGTGAGAGAAGCATCAATCAGTTGCCTCACCCATGTACCCCAACTAGGATAGAAACCTGGGTGTGTCCTGACTGTGAATCCAAGACCTTTCAGTGCTTGAGATGACGCTCTAACCACTTAGCAACACCGGCGAGGGCATAAATATTTTTTATGTATGTTTTGTACCTTAGATTTATTTTAAAAAGTTCAAATAAATCGTTTTGTCTTAGGTTTTGAGATTTGCTTTTTTTTACTTTCTTTTGTGGGGAGGTTGTGGGGGTGTGGATTTCCCTTCAATTAATGACCTGCATTGTTGGAATAAAGTGGTACTACAGTTTATTTCTATTTAGCTTTTGGAGAGGGAGTGGGGTGCTTGGGTGGTATTTGCTCAAAATTGTCATTTGAATAGTTGTATTTGTTTTCAAAGAATTTCTTGACTAGAAAGCTATTCACTGATGGTTTAATGTCTGCTCTTTTACTTTTTTATAAAAAGAATGCTTTAGATGTCATAAATAAACTTTTTTTAAAGATGAAAAGGGGTCTAAATGCCAGTATAAAATTAATTTGTATCTGAGACACTATATTCTTTGATATAAGTGAAATGTAAATTTAATGCTGGTCAGAAAAATATTCAACAGTTAATTCTTTAAAGGTGATCATTAACCTTAAGATAAGGATTGGATTTTAGACATTATACTTAACTGCAGATTTCAGTATAAAGTATAGATTTAAATATCTTTAGTTTATTTAAAATATGCCAAGAGACTGAAATGAAATTTGAATTGTTACTCTAATACAAAGAAAGATGACTTAAGCTTCTAATTTCTGTACCAGGTAGAACTTGAAGAATGACATGTGACTTTAATGTCTGGCGCTTCTTTTTAATAACTTAAGTTTGACAACTTTAAAAGATTGTATTTAAATGATCATTATTTTCGTGCAGACTTAGATGTTTGTACTGGGTTCCACAGTTTCTCGGTCTTTACTCTCTTCTGCCTTTCAATCTCCTTCACTGGGCCTTAGTTTATCTTTATAAAACAGATTTAATTGCACCACTCACTTGCTTAAAAACCTTTTATAGCTGTCATTCACTGTCTGCAGGATAAAGTCCAAACTCCTTAGCAGGATTTACAAAGTCCTGATTAAAAGGTCTAGTCCTGTTCTCCATTACATTTCTCTGAATTTGAGCCATTTCTGGATCCTCTCTTTTACACTAAACTACATGTTTCTTTTTGTCTGTGACCTATACCTTTATTAATTCCTTATCTCTGTTTCCTAACTGCCCAGAATGAATTCTTTTTTAAATCGTCACCTGAGGATATTTTTTCCATTGATATTTAGATAGAATGGGGGGGGAGGAAGGGAGACGAGAGAGAGAGAGAGAGAGAGAGAGAGAGAGAGAGAGAGAGAAACATTGATGTAAGAGACATGTGGAATGGTTGCCTCCCACATGACTCCCACCAGGGCTCGGGATTGAACCTGCAACTGAGGTACGTGCCCTTGACCAGGACTTGAACCCGTGACTCTTTGGGTCCACAGGCCAACGCTCTAACTGCTGAGCCAAACCACCTAGGGCTGAATTGTTAAATTTTATTCTAAGATTACTCTTTTTTTGTTTTGTTTTGTTAATCCTCAACAGAGACTGTTTTTCCATTAATTTTTTTAGATAGACTGGAAAGGGAGGGAGGAGGAGAGAGAGAGAAACATAGATGTAAGAGAGAGACATGTCGATTTGTTGCCTCCTGCACTCACTCTGACTGGGCCAGGGTTGTCAAACCTGCAACCTAAGTACATGCCCTTCCTTGACTGGGAGTCGAACCCGTGACCCTTTGGCACGTGGGCCGATGCTCTAACCACTGAGCATGCAGTCCAGGTCCCTAAGATTACTTTAAATATCTCTTATGTGAAATTCTCCCCCCCACATTTTCTATGTTCCCAAATAGTGTTTTGATCATATGGCTAGTGCACACCACTATTTACATATAGTAGCATGTATGTGTGTGTATGCTTGGTTAGACTGAACCATTTGATGAGAAAGATTGTGTATCTCATGGGATTACTCGTATGCTTATTTCATCTGGAGAGATAAGTACAAATATCTTGAATTGAGTCATTAATACTGTGGTGTATCCATTGAAATACATACTTTTTACTGTGCTTCTACATGAAAATTAGGTAGTGAGTTTTTTCAGTAAACTCTTAAGATCTTCTGGTTCTATAATTGTATTAAAAGTGTGGAATGGCTTATGTTGAGAGAACAGTATTTGTCTTAACCTTTTTTTATGGTCACAGACCCCCTTTGAGAATGATGACACTCTAGATTATTCCTTCTGCCATTGTACTTTGCATTTTCTCCAAAAGTTGGTACGCTCTTTTAGAGGATTCAGAGATCCTTTGAAACTCAGGCATGGATCCCAGGTTGAGAATGCTGGGTTATATAGGCTTATGCATTGTCTACTGACAATGTGGAGTTTTAGGAAATCACATGCAGATCTAGAAGGAAATGGGATAGGGATCGTTTAATTTTGATGGTGAGTAATATAGGGTCTCGTTTCCCATGTCTTTTCCCCTGGTCTTAGTGGGAGGCAGTATGGTATAGTATCTAAAGGCCTGGGTTCTGGAATTAGACTTGGGCTAGATTTATATCTTGTCTTGGTAGCTGTGATTTGTCCCTCAGTTTTCTCATCTGTGAAACGGTAACATTCTACCTCATAGGATTATTGTACGGAGTAAATGATAAAATCTTATAAATCCTGATTATAGTACTTGGTATGTAAAAGTACAACTCAAATGCTAGGCATTACTGTTATTACACCCTTAAAAAATTGTCCTTTGGCATTGGCATGTAGGATTTTATTGCATTTTGTTTTCCTACATTGGTGTTTTTCCAGTCTTGCTTATTCTGTCAAGTATGGAATCTCAAGTACCTGAGATTCCAACAGGTCACAGAATGTAAAATGTGTATGCCAGGCACTTTACTGCAAACTTAGATAGAGTAGTAGGTAACAACACAGTCTATATCCTCCAGCTCTTGGATTCTAGAAAAACTTTTTAGATGGGATGACTTTACCATGTGGTCACAGAGCAATAAACTCGTTCATTAAATTTTTAAAGGTATCTTTTTGTTTTTGTTGTTAATCCTCACCCGAGGACATTTTTCATTCTTTGCTCAGACGGAGCAGGAGGGAGAGAGAGGAAGAGAGAAAGAGAGAGAAACATCAACGTGAAAGGAACACATCGAGTGGCTGCCACCCACATGACCCAACCAGGGCCAGGGACAAATTGCAACTGAGGTACATGCCCTTAGTGGGAACCGAACCCGGGTCTCTCTGGACCGCAGGCCAACGCTCTAACCGCTGAGCCAAACTGGCCAGGGCACATTGTATATTTTTTAACTCTTTTTTCAGTGTTTGAGATATGTCTGGTTTGAGCTGTTTTTTTCTAGCCAATTCTGTTTATTTTTAACCATATAGCATTAGAGATCATAGATGAAGGATTAAAAGATCAGTTTGTGGTCATAAAGCAAAGACTAATTTTGTTTTTTTTTGTTAATCCTCACGTGAGGATCTTTTTTCCATTGATGTTTTTTTTAAAAGAGAGGGAAGGAGGAGAAAGAGAAACTTAATGTGAGAGAGCGATATCGATTGGTTACCTATCACGCTCGCCCAAGCCAAGGACAGGGATCGAATCTGCAACCCTTCTGTGTGCAGGCTGATGCTGTAACCATTGAGACACACCAACCAGAGCACAATAATTACTCCTATTGAAGTTTTTTTTTTGCTCTAGTAGCATGGGTTATCTTTACAATAACTAACAAAATTGGAAATGATAATTGTAGTTTTTTGTTTTTTTTTTTCATTTTAAATTTTTTTAAAGAATGAAAGGGGTGGGGGGAGATCAAGATCGATTTGATGTTCCATTTATTCACGCATTCATTGTTGATTCTTGTATGTGCTTTGACTGGGGATTGAACCAGCAACCATGGCATATTGGGACAATGCTCTAACCAATTGAGCTACCCAGACAGGGCCATATTTTATATAGTATTGCTTCTGTATTTGAAGTTTATTGTGTTATTAGGAGAACTTCTATTTTTAGGGAGTAGGATTTATATCATTTTTTAGAGTTTTGTGGTTATATATACCACAAATATATATCACAAAACATTTACATTTTTTGTTTTCTTTATCCAGACAGGTGATTTGGCTGCTGCACAGTTAGGAGGAGCACCAAACCGATGGGAGGTTTTGTCAGCCACACCTACAACTATAAAAGATGAAGCGGGTAATCTAGTACAGATTCCAAGTGCTGCTACTTCGAGTGGGCAGTATGTTCTTCCCCTTCAGAATTTGCAGAATCAACAAATATTTTCAGTTGCACCAGGATCAGAGTCATCGAATGGTACAGTGTCCAATGTTCAATATCAAGTAATACCACAGATTCAGTCAACAGATGGTCAGCAAGTTCAGATTGGTTTCACAGGCACTTCAGATAATGGAGGTATAAATCAAGAAAGTGGTCAAATTCAGATCATTCCTGGCTCTAATCAGACCTTGCTTGCCTCTGGAACACCTCCTGCTAATATCCAGAATCTCATACCACAGACTGGTCAAGTCCAGGTTCAGGGAGTTGCAATTGGTTCATCTTTTCCTGGCCAAACCCAAGTAGTTGCTAATGTGCCTCTTGGTCTACCAGGAAATATTACCTTTGTACCAATCAATAGTGTTGACCTAGATTCTTTGGGACTCTCGAGCAGTTCTCAGACAATGACTGCAGGCATTAATGCCGATGGACATTTGATAAACACAGGACAAGCTATGGATAGTTCAGACAATTCAGAAAGGACTGGTGAGCGGGTTTCTCCTGATATTAATGAAACTAATACTGATACAGATTTATTTGTGCCAACATCCTCTTCATCACAGTTGCCTGTTACTATAGATAGTACAGGTATATTGCAACAAAACACAAATAGCTTGACTACTTCTAGTGGGCAAGTCCATTCTTCAGATCTTCAGGGAAATTATATCCAGTCGCCTGTTTCTGAAGAGACACAGGCTCAGAATATTCAGGTTTCTACAGCACAGCCTGTTGTACAACATCTACAACTTCAAGAGTCGCAGCAGCCAACCAGTCAAGCCCAAATTGTGCAAGGTATTACACCACAGACAATCCATGGTGTGCAAGCCAGTGGTCAAAATATATCACAACAGGCTTTGCAAAATCTTCAGTTGCAGCTGAATCCTGGAACCTTTTTAATTCAGGCACAGACAGTGACCCCTTCTGGACAGATAACTTGGCAAACATTTCAAGTACAAGGGGTCCAGAACTTGCAGAATTTGCAAATACAGAATACTGCTGCCCAACAAATAACTTTGACACCTGTTCAGACACTCACACTTGGTCAAGTTGCAGCAGGTGGAGCCTTGACTTCAACTCCAGTTAGTCTAAGCACTGGTCAGTTGCCAAATCTACAGACAGTTACAGTAAACTCTATAGATTCTACTGGTATACAGCTACACCCAGGAGAGAATGCTGACAGTCCTGCAGGTAAGTCTTAAGTCATGTCATATCATAGATGGGTTCAGTGATTTGTTAATACATAGGGACATTTTTTTGCTTCAGGTGTTTATCAATATCTTTTATCTTTAAAGTTGATGATACGTTGCCCTAAGGTTGTATGAAAAAGTAGACATCAGAGTGTCTTCAAATTGTTCTTCATTGAAAGTTTGTAGTTTTTGATGTCAAGGATTTATTTCTCCATTATGCTAACATATTTGTAGTTTTTCATTACTCAGTTCTGTGTTTGTTATCACATCTAATTGGTGGTGTCAGATATTACACAATTTTTATTTGGCAGGTAAAGTGTCTTGGTCGTCCTTGGTGTGATGTAAGTAAAGTGTTTTCTGCACTATATTTGGTTGGGGAATCTGGTTGGCATAGTCAAAACATGGTACTGGGAGTAAAGACTATTATTTATGCTGTCTTAGCCAGTGGCTAGCTAGGTGTGTGGTTTTGGCCAAGTCACTTTTTCTCTTGCAAACTCAGTTTCTTCATCATGTAAAATCGGGTTGTTGGACTAGGTAACTATATTTAGGGTAACTTTCAAACCTAAGATTCTCTAATTCTGTGCTAATTTATTCTTATAAGCGTGTAGTGGGCATTGAACTTAGATGTGCTAGATATGTTATTGATAGTATGGGTAGAAATTTCAGAAGTCTGCTCTTTGAATGTTGTGTAAGAATTAAATAGTATAGTTTTAAAAGAAATAATATCATCATTACCTTATGTTATTTAGATAACAGTTTACTGAATGTGTTGTTCTGTGGTAAATCTTTACCTTTACTCTTCTAATTTAATTTGGGTTTTTGTGGAGATTTTTATTTAAAAAATTTTTTTAAATCCTCACCTGAGAATATGTTTTTAATTGATTCTTGAGGGAGAGGAAAAGGAAGGGGGAGAGAGAGAAAGAAAGAAAGAGGAAGAAATATCAATTGGTTGCCTTCTGTATGCCTGAACCTGAAACCTGGGTATGTGCCCATGACGAATCAGCAGTCTTTCAGTGCACAGGACAACTATGCTCAACCAACTGAGCCACTCTGGCAGGATGGATTTTTGTGGAAATTTTAACCTTCTTTTAAGTCAGTGATTTAAAATAAACTCTTAAATTGGGATGCTTGAATTTAATTTATTGAAATAATTTTCATCACAATAAAGACTACCTTTTTTCTTTTGAGAAATTTGTGATATATGCTTAGAAATTTGGAATTGTCTGGAAGCCTCATGTCTGTCCTTGGAAAGCCTTCCATTGCATTTGAGTTGTCTGAAGCTTTGTGGTTTAGAGCCACAGTTCTCAAAGTGTATGGTCTGTGGACCCCTGGGGGATCTCTGATTCTCTTAGAGGTCTTTGGTGTCAAACTACTTTTCAAAATAATACTAACAATAATACTCAAGTTATTTTCCTTTTTCATTGTGTTGGCATTTTCACTGATGGTGGCTAAAACTTCTGTGTCTTAGCACAAATCAAAGCAGTGGCACAAAACTATACTAGTTACATTCTTTATGACATCGCACTTGCAGTTAAAGAAAAATGCATTTCACTGAAGAAGGACCTTGTTAAACCAGTCAAAATAGTTATTTTTACTAAATCTTGAAATTTGAGTGCATTTTTAAAAATAAAACCAGTAGCTTTTATTGAAATGTCCTATACCATAAAATTTACCTTTAAAGTATATTAGTCAGTGATTTTTAATATAGTCTGAATTGTTCAACCATTACCACTATCTAATTTTAGAGCATTTTCATCACCCCCCTCCCAAACCCCATACATATTAGCCGTCACTCCTTAGCCCCCACCCCCCTACCTATCCCTTGGCAGTCACTAATCTATCTTCTGTCTCTGGATTTGCCTTTCATATCAGTGGAATTTCATTTCATGTTAATAGATCATATAATAAGTGGTTTTTTATGTCCCACTTCTTTCATATAGCATATTTTCAAGATTTTTTTGTGGTTGAATAATACTCCTTTGTGTGAATATACCACATTTTATTCGTCTGTTGATGGACAAGGTTTCTATGTTTTGGGTATTAAGAATAATGCTACTGCTATATAAACATTCTGTGTACATTTATTTTGTGTGGACATGTTTTCATTTCTTTTGGGTATGTACTTAGTAGTGGAATTGCTAGATTGTATGATAAGTCTATTTTTAACATTTTGAGGAACTTCCAGAATGGTTTTCCAAAGTGACTGCACCTTGTACATTCTTAGCAGCAGTGTAGGAGGGTTTGTTTCTCTACATCCTTACCAACACTAATCATTGTCCTTTTTGATTATAGCCATCCTAATGAGTATTAAGTGCCATCTTGTGTTTTTGATTTGCAGTTTCTGCTGCATGTCTTTGTAATGTTTTTTGTGTGACAAAAAGTATGCTTAAATAAAACACCTTAAGATGATTATATTAGAAAAAAAATAGTTTTTTTAATTGTGTAGCTGAGTTGCAAGCTGAACTAGATACTATTTTCATGAAACACTTTTTACTTGAAAGAGTGACTGACAAACTGTGGTTATGTGGAGACTCATGAATTTAAGTGAGATATTTTCACTAAGAAAATGAATTAAGTGAACATTACACAAAGGATGAAAACCTGACAGTATTTGTTGTCAATGGTAAAATCTGGGTTTTATAGTGAAAATTAGAATTTTGGAAAACTTGAATCTACTACTATGAACTTGATAGCTTCTTAATAATTAAATAATTTCCCTGGCCAGTTTGACTTAGTGGTTAGTGTTGGCCTGCACACCTTGAAGGGTCTTGGGTTCAATTCCTGGCCAAAGGCACGTCTGGATTGCAGATTAGATACCCAGCCCTGGTCAGGGAGTGTATGGGAGGCATTCCAATTGATGTGTTGCTCTCACATCGATGTCTCTCTTTCTCTCTTTTTCTCTCCCTCTTTCCCTTCCACCCTAAAAAATCATTGGAAAAAATATACTCAGGTGGGATTAACAACAACAAAAATTACATACTTTTCTTATGAGATGGATAGTGATATTAATAAATAGGATTTTTTGGATAGTACATTATAATACAATGTGCTGACATTTGAAAGATCTGTATGATTACTCAGTAAACAAGTAGTATTTAAATGATCAGCTCGTGATACAAAATCATGCAAGGGTAAAGATCCGTTTAAAATTAAGAGTAGACCAGTAACAAAACATATGGAAAGTTTACCAATATGGTGTCAGATCGCATTGCAACAGACCTTTAAGAAACTGCTACTTGTGAAGTTTGGTGTAGTATCAAAGAATACCCACAATTGGCTGAAAGGCTATCAAATTACTTGTTCCTTTTCCAGCCACATATCTTTGTGAGACTGGATATTCTTCATATGCTTCAGCCCAAACCACATATTGTAACAGATTGAATGTAAAAGCAAATGTGAGACTCTACTTGTCTTCTTTTAACCTAGACATTAAAGAGATTTACAAAAATGTAAAACATGGCCTCTCTTCTCATCACACTTTTATTTGTGTTTTTGGAAAATAGTTGTTATTCATAAAGTGTTAATTTGTATTAACATCTAACAGATATGCTATTTTTAAATGAATTAAAATGTAAATTTCTCTTCCAATTTCTAATACAGCAAATATCAAAATAATACAGCCTACATGAACAAAAGCTTTTTGGGGACCTTGGTAATATTTAAAGAGTTTAGAAGGAGTCCTGAGTTTGAGAACTACTGGTAGAATGACAGACTTCTGAAGACATAGCAGATGGTTTTTAGAAAACTAGTTTTTAAAGCTTCTACAAAGTTAAGGTTGTAGAGTCCTATATATGTTAGAAAAACATCTCTAGATAAATTATTTGTGATTTTTGTGGATTTATGTAGGTCATGAAATGAGAGTGGTATAAAGCACTAAGTGTTTCAGTGCAGTAATTTATTTCTAAAATACTATCAAAATAGAAATTCTGTATGAATTAAATACAAAAAGGAATTTAAAAAGTGGTAATTTAGTTTATTGAATGTGGCAAGGAAAGGTAAAATAAAGAAGCATTTCAGAAGGCCATTAAATATGAATTTTGTCCCAATTTTAAGGAATTAAGAAAGACTTTGATAAAAGTAAAAGTTAAAATTCTGCAATGTACACAGCAGCATATTTAGTAATAGAAACCAGGAAATTTTAATTTTGGAAATATTTGGTAATAGGAAAACCATTCCTTGGTATACTGTCTTTTTAATTGGCACGAAGAAAGATAAATTATTTTAGGATGTGTTTTTTTCCCCCCACCTGCAAATCAGAGTAAAATTTAATCTGTTACAGCATAGTATGTGCCCAGATGAAATGCTGAAAACTTTGACATTATTGGTTTGCATTTTTATTTTTGGTAAGTATGGAATTAATGTAACAATTTTCCACATACATGAGACTTCTGAGCTCCCTTTTAATAAAAATAACCTCTTACTCCGGCCTGTTTTAAGCTGTGAATCTGACTCTGGGACCCTCCTCATGAAAAGGGTTGTGTTGAGAGCCTCTAATCCCCAGGGCCTACTCTTCAGCTGCTGAGCCAAACCGGCTGGGGCCAAATCTATAAACTTCTGTCAGCCATGCAGATGCCAGAAGATTGCATAGTAGTATTTTCATAGTACTGAGAGAAAATAACCAGGAGGCAAGAATCTGTATACAGTTAAACCCCTACTGAAGAATTAGGATATAATGAAGATATTTAAAATAGTCAAAGACTAAGAGTTTATTATTCAAAGGCCCTTACTATCATTAGTACCCCCTTCGTTACCATTTACCACTTTAGTCATTCTTGCTCATGCCCATTCTCCGGCAAATAGGTATAACTCACATAAACGAAACCTCCTTGAAATCCTCAGTAATTTGTAACATATAAAGTGATCCCGGTATGAAATAAGGGTTTAGAATTGTTGCTCTAACGAATAAAGGATTTTTTTTTTTTTATCTTCACCCAAGGACATTTTTTCATTTTTTATTCAGATAGAGTGGGAGGGAGAGAGAGGGAGAAACATCGATGTAAA